GATGGCAAGTTTCTTAAATTTTCTAAAACAGAACTGTACATCAATTGTAATCAAAATAATTAAGAGTAATAAAATCATGTTAATCGTCATGAAGAATATCAATATATAGTACAATATACATATTTAAATTTAATTATGCTTCTAGCGACCCGTTTTAGGAGCGAGTGCATAGGGAAACCTTGTACATTTCGGGTTCGCATCGACAGGCCCGATCGAGGAGAGCAACGGCGATACCAGCGTCGAGGCCAGGCGTGAAAATGGCCAGACTTAACGGGCCTTCCCATCTCCTAGCTAATTCCACAATTCCATAGACCTGATCTGCAGTGGCGTGCGTGCAGAGGGTCACCTGGGGCAGCTTGTTCCTCTCCTCGGTTCCGCGCAATATGAACTGTAGGACTCTGTAGGGACTCTTCTCACCGATTTCAGGGCTTCCGTTGATTTTGGTAGAGGAATACAAAAGAACATCCGGTAGGCCATGGTACCATCTGCAAGAACTTTTGTTCCTAGGTTGTAGACCAGCCATGTATGTGCCTGCTGCGAAAGTAGGTACTCCAGCCTGTATTTCTTGTTGAGAGCTTAAATGACTCTTTGGTATTAAAACGTCGGTGTTACCGATTATTAGAATCGATAAATAAAATCCGTGATTGACCAGGAAACGACCAACCAAGATAAGTAGAAGCATTAGGCTCAACCAAATTAGAAACCTTCGACCAGAGCAACGCATTGCTCTTTTTTTTATATAAAAGATTTTTCTGGGCTCTTTGGTAATCATAATCGAGAAAATGATTTTCCATATTACAAACGTGATGAATTCATTGAACTATTACTTCTGCGCTGCTGTTACCCAACTAGGCAGCGAGACCGTCAATTTCCAATCAATACAGCGCAAGCGTGTTTGGCCTCGATCAATTTGTTAGAATTTACTTTTATAAAAACAAACATGTCAGCTCAATTTAAAAACACTAAATCTAAATTTTCTTTAACCATGGAATAGAAACAGACAGACTTAAAAAATTGAAAGGAAAAACTGACAATGTTTTCAATTCCGAATCTGTGCAAATGTCAATCATACTCGCAGCATATACAGTGTATCAATAAAATATTTGTACACTTAGTTTTTTTGCAATAACTTTAACTGTTTCCATTAAAAATCTACCATGTACAGTAATATGTACCTTAACAATTTTTAATAATGCGTTATAAAAAGCAATACAATAAATATGTGTTGTCAGTGGCGATAGTGCGTGTTGTGCGATAGACAACTACCACCATAAATTCTCCGTTGAACGCAGAGGCGGCGTGTGCATGTGCGCACGTGCCTGGTTGAAACTAAAAATCAGTGGCACACGGCATATCCCCTTTTGACTTGCGGGTAGTAGCGTACGTGTTAATAAGTTTGTAACCTTCATGCTGAATTTCTGACTATCTTGTCAGTCTGCGTGATACAAATAGTAATAATTCGATGATTATCAGACTGTTATTCCTATACCAGAATGTATGACTTTACGTCGGTGCAATACCTACATTGTTTTTTTAAAAGGACGTAGGTTCAAGAACTTTTACTTTGTATATTTAACATATTTTATTATTATAAAATAATTCTCTAATAAGAAGTGTTCTTAATAATTGCAAATAAAGGTTATATTTATCTTAAAGTTTAAATTTATCTTGTACAGTTTAAGTTTATCTTATTATCTTAGTTTCTATAATTAAATTTAAAAATTTGCAGAATTTCGTGACTGTTATTCAAATTGCGTACGTATGTATGTTATTACACGTATTACATTTATAAGTTAACGTACGTTTATGTTTACAAGTAATCATACATCTAATGGTGTCTAGTGCGATATATTTAACCAAAAAGAGCGATGAGTTTCGTTTGCGATGAAATGTGTTTAACATTTTCGTGATTGATTCCAAGGCTGTGTTCTAATTTTAGTATACCGAAGAGAAACCATTTATATTACTATATATGTACATCTTTCACCGGAACATGCAACGAGCTAAGTCTATTAAAATTCAATACTACAGAGCCAGTAGTACCTAAATTGTTCGCAGAGTTAAACGGATTCTTTCGTTCTCTTTTCTAAACACCATAATCTCTCGAAATTAAATCTTATTCTGCTTTCCTTTCCTTTCATTCGTGATGTGCGAGTTAAGTTTATTGTTATGTGGAGCATAAATTGTACTTAATATCGATGCGTCGAGTTGAGTTCAATGATCGTACATGTATATATTATATTATAGTTCAACAATACATGTTTATTGGATGGTAAATAACGTATGAATATTAGCGATGACTTCTGTCCAAAAAATCTTATCTCTTTATTTTTTTAATATCATTCGACATTTATGGAAAAGTATTATGTAAATAATTATTTCACAGTTTGTAGCACAAGTTTCATTTTGCATACTTGTTTCGATCCTCAACGTCAAACATGTTAAATAGTTTATATTTGACCTACTTTCAAAGTTCTTGAACTTGCTTCAGCACCTATTATTCGATCACTCAACAGAAGTTAGATTACATTTTTATTTTATATTAAAGTAACTGTATATGTATATGTATATTCTCTATATTGAAAAGAATATTTCAAGAATGAGTAATAAATTTTTTTGAAATATTCTAAGTTTGCATTTACAAGAATAACGAGGTAAACACATTTTAATAGTGAAACTCTCATTTTCGAAAATTTATTTGAAATTATTATCGAATAAAGTATACGTGTAAAAATGTATTTTAAATTAGGTAATTATGTTTTAAATATAATTAGAAAACAGCAATTATTTATATATGTCGATGATATAACTTTGTTGTAATTTTTTCAGTATTGTTTATAATAAAAAAGAAAAAATTAAGAAAATTAGCATTTTCGATATTTATATACGTTAAAATAGTTTCACGTAATTTCCATGAAAGTAATGTGTGTAGTGAGCGACGAAATAAAATGAAATGTACTTACATACATGTAACATGTGGGCCACTTTCAATGTCACTTTATATATTTCAAGTATAAGTTGCTTAATAATATCAAAAAGGTGGTGCATTATCATTGTGGAACATAAGTTCATCAAAAATAAAATGCTAATGTTAAAGTGGATTTTTTTTACATATTTTTTCTACGGATTATTTAAGTATTAGAAAATAGAAACGATAAGATCACAAGTGGTTATATACATTATATGTGTATTATTAAAGATAAACATACGTCCTGTGATCTAACGATCTTTGTATTGCTAATGAAAAAGTAAATGAATAAATAAGTTTAAAAAGGAAAATCAGTAAATATGATCGCGTTAAAATTTATAGTTGAAGTGGCCTTGACCTTCGTCGATGAACGTGCCCCTTTTTCCAACACCGCCAACCCTTGGGGACATAGCGACACCTGCTAGTGGTGTGGTAGACGTTGCGAAGTTGACAACTGTGCCGTCGACCACGATTGGATGCACTCGTAAGCAACATGTCGGGGCAGAAATGTACAGGACATTCGGAATCCACAAGATACATTTTACTCGTAGGAACTTAGTATATCCTAAATCAAAGGAGAAAATTGAACATCGTGTTACTGAATTTCACATAAAAATGTCGGAACAACAGAAGGACAACGAAAATGAAGATGATGATGATGATGTAGTTTGCGCGATTGGTATGACCAATTTAATCGGTTTTTGTTACACATATGTACAATCAAATATTTCAATATTTATGAATTAAATTGTGGTACCGAGAATGCACAAAATACAAATTAACAATGTAGGATGAGATATGTTTTATTCAGAGTAGAAAAGAAAGCGATAAGTGTGATTTTCTTTTTTTTTTTTTTTTTTTTTTTTTAGCAAATTGTCGTTTAGTAATTTCATTGATAAATGTTATTAAGAATAAGATACATAAGTAAGACAAAAATCGGTTGGAAGGAAAATTCTTTTTTTATGTAATAAATATTCTAATTTAAAAGTGAATTCTTTTTTAACGTTAAAATCTATGATTTCTATACAACCATATCGTAATATTTACCATATAGGCCGAATACATTAGCTGTCGCGTGATTTTCTCCTCCGTCATTTTTTGGTTCCACTTTTACCGTTCAACGGTTATAGATAGGGTTACCATACGTCCCGGTTTGACCGGGGAAGTCCCCGTTTAAAAGTACGTTTCGGTTGTTGATTTCGTGATTTTTAAAGAGCTCTAAAGTGTACGGAATTCTATGAATAAATTAAGAATAGAAAACATTTCTTAAGAAAGTTTTATCTACAGAAAAATATGACTTGACTCCCAAATAAATTGTTGCTCTACCTTTAATTACCATTTTCTTTCATTTTATGTGATTTTTTAATTACTATAATAAAAGTACACTTTTTCAAAGAATTTTTCTTTTGTTCTTTCATTTTTTGTACTTATCTCAGTTTAGTGATGAAAATATATGGTAACCCGAGTTATAGGCATATTAAATCGTAACAGACGTTCTATAGAATTTTTCTGCTTCGACCTTAACACGTTTGCTGTTACGGGTGTAGCGAATAGGCATAAGTACTTACATGCAGTATTACCTTATATGCCAGTGTCGACAATGTCTGTCGATCGATCGGTCACATCAAAAGTACTTTACATATTATTACATACATTATAGATATCTCTAAGACTGAAGTTATGAAAAAAATGTTAATAATTAACAATATGCACAAATTAAGAAATTATATCTCGTATTTCCTGTATTCGGTAAAAAATTTACTAAATTTGTTTTGTCAAAAACTCTGTGGAACTACATGATATACTCTATATGTTACATAAAATATAAATATCTGCCTAAGCTTGTGTCAAACATTGTTCATACAATAATTGTAGCTTTAAAAATAAAATTTGCCTTTTAATATTAATAACAGGACTGCATAGTTTGGACGAGTAGTGATAATTTAATTTATTATTCTTAGATGCACCTACAACAGTTTTGGGAGAAATTTCTCCACAATATAAAGTGATTAGAAATTTTGAAAAATCAACAAAATCCGTAGCTATTCAAACGTTGATTGGACTACCATTGCGGCTCAGAGTTTTACCATCCGTTAAAGATATTGTTGATGAAAAAGACGAAAATTCAACAAATGTAAAAGGATTTTCTACAATCTGGAAGTACATTAGATTTTTAGGAAGACTATCGCTTTCGTTGTTCGGTAAAAATAAATGGGTATCCTTCTTTTTATTGATAGTTTGTAATTGGTATTAATCTTTTATAAATGGTTTATTAAATATGTACATATTTCCTTTTTCCGAAAAAATTTTAGTATAGAAAATTCAGACAATTTGTTTAATTATGCTTAATAGAATAAATTAATTAATTGAAGATTTGAAATCATATTTTTAATATTATTTACATATTACAGGATTATTATGGTTACTCACCATTTGGGCTATTGTTGGTGCAGTAGCTTTCTGTGCCACTGAAGGACGTCGAGAACGTGAACAAGTAACAAAATGGAAGAATATGCAGAATCACTTAGCGGTGGGTTTAGCAACAGAATTGAGACAGTTACGTACAGAAAGAGAGGAAGATGTAGAGCCACTTTGGAGTGAGAAAATCCAACAATATGTAGCGAAACACGAAGAACTTTTGCTGGTTGCAGTTAATTCTGGATATAACGAAAGTGGAAACAACGGACAACTTTGGACATTTTCTGGTTGCATTCTCTTTGCTCTTTCGCTTCTCACCACTCTTGGTAATTCAGATGAATCTTTTTCCTAATTATTTTCAATTGTTGTGTCCGCGTATAAAATCGATTGTAGCCTGGTTAATACTTCGAATTTTAGTTTACAACTTCACGAACATATTCTGCAGATGTATTGCTATTGATTTATGCAAACAAATATCGATTTTTTCGACTATCACAGTAGGGGGATCCCCTTAATAATTCTTTACATATGTGCCGAATACGCTGTACAGTTAGACGCAAAAGTTTAGATACACCTATCAAACTTAAAATATTTAAAAGAATACAAAGGTTTTGAATATTTTATAGGCATTAATTTATATATTGGTTAAAATTAGACAGATTCTGAGAAAAATGGCGATGTTTCTTATAAATTAGATACTGAGCCATGATTTTTAATTTACTTCGATTTGTTTTAACTTTTAGGTTTTGGTGCTCCGGTTCCACGAACGACATCTGGTCGAACAGTAACCGTTATTTTTGCAGCAATTGGTATACCTGCGCATTTTCTTTTGATTATGAATCTTGGTCTTTTGTTGGCAGTACGATTGCAGAAATATGCTATATCCAGAAAATTAGTTAAATATGATCAAACTGTTTTACATGATTTGGCGCCAGTACCCAAGTGGGTTAAAATAATACCCTTTGTTTGTGTAGGTAATTATACATTCATGTGAAATACATACGTATGTATATTCTAACTTTCATTCAGGATTCACCTTTTAACAATGATAACATTTAAGAATGAAACTCTTCTTTTAACATTACAAGAACCGGCCGAGTCACAATTACATCAAGCAATTTTCAAAATCGTTATTAATCAATAGGTTAAAAAAAGAAAGTGCAAGTAAATATGTCTTACAATAAATAAATATGAAATTTAATTACTGAAATATAATAAAACAATATTTGCTATTAGCTAGGAAATTTACGTGAACGGTCTTGTTTCTGTCAGCATTGTAAGTAGTTGTATTTTTTTAAATTATAGGCAGCTACTATCTACTGGGAATCCTGTGTTTCGGGATAGCCAGATCCAGACCAATTGCATCAAGCATTCTGTTTCCTCTGGATTTCACAGCTGCTGGTGGTCTTTCAACAATAGTTGGTTATGTGCGAATATTATACGGTCTTTACTTGGAAGGTGCAGTGACTATCACTGCTGTTGCAGTTGCAGTATTGCGTGTATCAGCTACACAGAGTTTAACCAACATTGGTCTCAAATATGGTTTATTAATTGAGGCTTAAATTTTCACTAAATGTTTCATATCTTAAATATAATTATAATTGCTGTTCTAAATTTTGTGTTGTAATCTACAACCACATAATAAAATAAAAAGTACAACAATAAACATTTACAATATTTGGAATAAATTTTATAAAAAGTTATTAATGTGTTGAATAAAATTATTTTATTTCCTGTCAATACCAAATATTCTAGTTATAAAATGTACAATTACAAATGATTTTGTAAAGCGTGGTCTCCCCCTTATAACGATCTCTAAAAAGTTGATGTCGATATTTTGTCGCACGGTCAGCTTGTATCATGTGTGGTGTGTGTATACTGTGTGTATTTAGTACATGCTAATGTGTGTGTTTAGTATGTTTAGAAACGAATATTGCCCCCTCTTTGCCTTATCACTTCTTGATATCCCACCAAGAGTTAATGCGGCGATGCATCGACATGCACACTATATGTATTTATATTTATATTTATTGGAATTTTTACAAGCAATAAATTTAATGGGGTATTTAATACATCAATTATATACATACATAAATTTATTACGATGAAGATAATAAAATAAAACAATTATGTTTAACACATGATCATGAGTATATACATACTCTTACATATGTATATTGTATAACAATACAGTATGTTATGAAGATAAAATAACCTATGTGCATCTTAATATATGTATTTCTAAAAAATAGAGTGTACTCTCGTACCCATGCTTCAGTAGATGATTTAAAAGAATAATTAATGTAATGAAAAATGTCAAGAAACTGGAAAATGTTTAGAATGTATTATTAAAATGTTTGTATATTTGAAATTTTTCGAGAGAAAATGAGATTTTGTAAAGTATTGAGATTCTAGCAACCTTATACATTTTATATGACAGATGACTCGCAGAATCTATTTTGTCAGTTATCGAGAATATATAATGGTAAAAAAGGCATTAATTATTTAGAAAGAAATAAAATCAGTTTTATAAAATAAATTATTTGCATGCACTATTATTAATTACATTTAAAAGCAAAATAATTCAATTAACAAATTATTTTTATACATTATAATCTTATGTTTTTCTGTTCTCTTATTCATTTGTATCATATAGTTGTAGAAAATGCTAGCAACAACAAAATATTAAACTTATGGATTTGTTTCAAACAGTGTAGAATATAGGATGTAATGATAAAACAGGTAGAAATATTACAGTTTACATGCTTTATTATACAAATAATATATCAATAAGTAAAGTATTACCTATTAATTCTGAATCTTCTGTAATTATTTTTTTATAGATGTATTCTATTTGTGAAGTTGCATCAATAAATTTGCATAGAAATAAAATAAGCCGTAATTTGCGTCCACAATTACTTTCTTTTTAAATTTCAATACGATTTATAAAGTTGATGCGCGTCGGGTCCTTTTATACGATAGTTACTTTTGCGTTTATATTTTTTCATTTTATTGTTTCTACGAAATCATAAAGTCTCCAATATTAAAATAAAAATATTTATGACATTTTATGTCTTCTCATTGTGGTAAGATCTTCATTTCTTGAGTTACTATTTTTCATTTCAGAATTATTTTGAGCTTTATCTTCTGGACTTTCAGGTTTAGAAGATACACAGTCTTCATCAGAAATATCTTGATTGCCTAATGCTATCCGTATGGATTCCACCAAATTGAGAGGACCAGTATAACTTTCTTTAGTTCCTGTAAGTAAAGATGTAAATGTTTCTGTAGGACAATCACAAAACACAATAGGACAAAATACATACATTTTTCTGTTAACAAAGCTAAATTTTATTGAACTGCAATAATTTCTGTTTCCCCCTAAAAGTTGACACTCACCAATTTTAAATTTATCCAAATATAGCTTTCTTGATTTTGTTAAGAAGGCCATTATTTTCATCATTTGGTTCATTCTGCATATTCTGTTTCGCTTGAGTTTTTACCTTCGGACCTGCCGAAAAAGTACATACAATCTAAGAACGAAAGAATTTAATATAAAAAACTCTCGGATTATTAAGTTAATTCATTCAACAATTTGTTAATATTTTATCTTTTCAAACTAGGAATTTTATTAATATGAAACACTAATGAAACGCACATATAAAGTTTCACATAATTTATTTAACGAATAAGTGCAGGTACACGTAAGGAAACTCAAGCGACACAAAAGTCTAATTTTACGCGACTTTGTGAGAAACAATTATTTAAAAAATTGTACTTCAACAAAAAAAAAAAAGGATATGCATGTTTTATAAGTTATGTGTAACCATCACTGTTATTATTCATGTTTATTCTTACCATCTGTTTTATATGTTATGCCATGTATACTTCCAGGTGTGTCCTCTTCTAATTCTGCATAAGCTTGGAGTAATGCTAATTGTTTATCATTTAATTTTGTAGGTACAATAATTGTAATGTGTACATAGTGGTCTCCATATCCTGCACCATTCACCTTTTTCATTCCTTTACTGTTCAGTCGAATTTTAGTATCGGATGAAGTACCAGGTCGAATCTGTACAGTATGATCTTCATAAACGCCTTCTATTCGTATTGTACCACCAAGTACAGCTTGTGATAATGAAATTTGTGCATTTGTGTGAATGTCTGGACCATCTCTTCGAAAGTATTTTGATTTTTCCACGTGGAATGTTATAAATATTTCTTTGTTACCAACAGCCATTCGAATTGTTTGACCATCTTCCACACCAGCTGGAACTGGAACTGTTATCTTTTTACGTTGTACCTATTAAAATGACATTTTATATAAAACAGCTACTGTGTCTATAAATACTTATTAGATTTAAGTAAATTTGAGCATTTTTAATTAGCATAAAATATTTTTGTACCATCTGTCCTTTTCCTTCACATTCAGTACATGGAAACTTAACATGCACCCGGCTACCATGACAGTAACGACACGTGGAGCGCATCACAAAAGGACCAGTACTAATTGTTTCCATTCCAGTTCCATTACAATATGGACACCTAACTGCTTTTGTTCCTGGTTCACATTGTGAACCTGAACATTTTGGACATGTGTCTACTACATTTAGTTGAATATCTTTATTTATTCCTCTGGCAGCTTGAGAAAACGTTAAATTCATGACAACCTAAACAAGAAAAAGTTTATACTTCACTAACATATAATAATGTAATAATATGTATATTTGAATGTATATGTACCTCTTGAGCTGCTCCAAAACCATACTTTGATTCTGCAAAATCTTCAAAATCGTTAAAAACAGTACTCTGAAACCCAGCTTCTCCAAATATTTTCCTAAATAATTCTTCTGGATTAATTGAAGACCTAAACTGCCAGCTTTGGTTAAAATCTTTGGCATGACCACCATGTCCCATTCCCATTTGTTCTGATGTTGCTCCCCATGTATCATATTCTTTTCTTTTGTTATCATCACTTAATACTTCATATGCCTCTGAAACTTCTTGAAACTTTTTACTTGCATCTGGATCTCCTTTATTTGTATCAGGATGATACTTTTTAGCTAACTGATAATAAGCTTTTTTAATGTCTTTAGCTGCAGCATTTTTAGATACACCCAATATATCATAATAATTACGCTTTAACAATTTACATGTTGTATGTATTCCTCTTTGAGTTTGTATTGAATTTCCTACAATGTCTGTAATTACATTTAAAAAATTATTTTAAATTTAAGTAATTCTTTTAGGCATAATAAAAATAGCAAAGTATGTACTGATAAAACATGTTATGTAGAAAATATTTTACTCTTATATCTTTGCACTAAGTTATATATTTGCAACAAATATTAATAAACTACTTGGAATTTATAAAATAATTTTTTATACTTTTACACTATTATTACAATAAGTTATAGAATGAAACAATTAAGAAATTTATTTTTGAATTAAAGGACTAAGACTAAGGAAGTGCAAAGAACTAAAAGTAAAATGACATTTTCATTTCATTGTACAATTTGTAAACTTTTTTAAGATCACTTTAATAAGTTTCAAATGTTAACGTAAAATTAATCGATATTCATACTATTCTATACAAAATAAGATTTAAGTAATCAAAATCTACTTTAAGGTAATTATAAACAATTGTTACTAGAAAGGAAAAAAATCATGTGTCGCTAAGTGTGCGGTTATGTTCTGTTTCGACAGTTGAAATTTTCGTGTAATTAAACAAAACATTTATTATAAAACATGCAGTCTAAAATGGAAAATTTATATGATATACCAGAACATATTTAATATATTAATAAATTCATGCATTATGAAAGAAAGCATGATGTAATCTCTACTCTTTATGGTCAGAAATATACATTACATTTTCTTGTTTTTTTTGGATTCCAGTTGCCGACACCCAATGTTATTGTTGTGAAAGGTCGGTGACACGAAGTACATCTTCGTGCAATAGCACAAGATAATTTATTTAAATTACTATTGCTGATTAAATCAATAGTCTTTGGTCGGAAAACGATTGCCAGTCCTTTGCCGGTCGCCATGTTGTACAAGAGACGCATGGTTGAAGTATCACGTGTTATATCGAAAATAAAGTATATTTTCTAGAAACGACACATATAACTAGGTACATGTCTATATACCAACCAATCCATGTTAAACACAAAAGTACGGTTACATGTTGTCATGAATTTTTTCAAACTCATAATATTTGTTGATAGTCTCGAGATTAACCTATATAAAAGTTTAGATTGTTATCTCGAATATTTTTAGAGCTATTCTATGTTAAAATTTTGAAAAATTAAACGAAAATGAGCAAACGCGTCACCATTTCAGTATCAATATTTCGACTTTATTTAAAGATGATGTTTTGTTCGTGTACTCAGTTTAGAGCTGAAGATATGCTTCTTTCAAATATGCATACAAAATTTTATTTATTATTAAAAAATTATAAATTTAAACTTACTATTGTTATGGTCCAGACCGTAAAGGCAGGTACGCAACGACTTCTTTTGTGGGAAACTCTAGGGTACAATCTGATTATCTTAAAATTAATTGATGTCCAGCTCTGCACGTACACTGTAAATATACTATACAGGACCGCTCCCGAAATTGCTCTGTATGAAGTGGTCAGACAAACGGGAGCATGAAACAATATTAGAACTGTAAACTACACCTATTTCAGCAGCGGTGGGGCACTGTATAAATGCAGTAGTGTAATTCCCCGGACTAATTGTAAGAATGAGAACTATGTTTTGAAGATAGGCACGGGTTGAAAAAGCAATCGATGGTACGAAACGCTTCACGAACGGTACCAACACATGTCTACCTGCGAACCTACTCTCCCACACTACCATTATTCCCCACTCCTTTTACGACTATTGACGTTATTTGCCCCGACCGCTGCTTTTGGCTCAGCTCAGAGCAAAATAGACACCGCAGTATCGTTGCTCAAGTAACTAGATGTGGCCTACTATTCGAATATCGCTCCGTACTTCACGATTGGCTTTGAATTTAAATAAACGGACTTTACTTTTTTCCAATTTAATCGAGCATGGGAATACTTAAATATAATTACTTTGTAAATAACTTAGATATTCGAATGTACCTTTTAAAAAGAAAATTGAATGTGAGAGTAAGTAACAACGATTGTATATGCTAATAGCTTTATTATTCAAATACATAACGAGGACTTTTACAATATTAAAAAGCAATTAACCAAACTGTTTATAATTAATAATCACGAATGTTAGCTGTAAAATCTATGTAATAACAATTTTAAATGGAAGCCAACATTTCATGATAAATGTAATAAATCAAACATTTCATATTCCACTCTTTTCCACTGTTATGCTCATGACGATGCTAGCAATCACGTTGCCATTTTGTCTGAAGTCAGATTTAATATTATAATCGCCGGGTGACAAATCTTTCATTAAACCGGATATATCACAATCTTTACACTTTTGTTCGCCCTAAAGGATAAAATTTACGTATTAATATTTCAATTGATTAATCAAGTGTACTTATCTTCCTAGGTGATAAAATATGACTTTTTATAATTAGAATTTTGTTTACTTAGGAAATAAAAATAATATAGTTAGTTGTAACATTTTCCTTTGGTATAAAAAACAGAAAGTGTTGGTTACAAATAGAATAAACTGATGCCCAGTAATCAACACAATGAAATTAAAAAAAATGTACATACAACTTCCATGTCACATGAGTTTATAATTAAACAAAGAAAAACATATCGAATGTAGAAAGATTGTATCATAAAGAATCCTGCTGATTGTTGGTTAAGATATAATTAAAGAACTATAATTATGCAATTGCACATAATTTGATATAATAACTATCATTATCTTCAATGTCTAAAGTTATGAAAATTAAATAAAAATTTATTTAACTAAATAAAGATTTTTCACTTTCGACACTGTTACTAGTAAAAATTTTGTCCTTTATAATTATAGATTATTACGTCGCATAAATCATACCTATGATGTAACTCAAATTTTTTTGACCATCTTCAATAACGATCATATGATAATAATAGTTAAGTTCATTTGTGTAGTTATTAACTATAGTTATGTTCAAACATTATACAATATCGTGACTTACTTGGAGTATGGAACATGAGTCGTCATCAGGCTCTGTATAATCCAGCATCCCACAAATACCATAGTCTTCGAAATTTTTCATGGGTTTATCAAGTTCTTTAAAAACTTGGGAAACCACTTCATCTTCTTGAAAAACCTGTATTTCAAGCTGAAAATGAAAAATTATTATTAAGAAAATTAGAATTATTAGAAAATTATTAAAATATTGATATACAATAGCGCTAAAATATTATTATATAACACGAAATTAATCTGTTTAATTTAAATTGATACCTCTATTGATTCTGGACAATCCTGCTTAATGTTAATAGTTGAATCAACAAGATTATTTTCAAGTTCATATGTCCATGAGTCGATAACATCGTTGCTTGGAATATCGATATCGAAGGTACGTATTGTTGCTTTAGTTTCAGACTAAAAAACAGAAAAGTACATATCAATTACTTAGGTAATATTTTGCATATACAAACATAGATCAGTTTTAAAAGGACATTAGTTGAACATTTTAAACGAATCTTCTAATTAGTAATAAATTAAATTATTATTACTGCAACACTAAAAAATACATAGTGACTTCAACTTTTCGATTCAATTTTTTATATTCTGTGTAATTCAATTTTAGTTTTTTATATATCATTTTGACCAATTTTACAAATTTCGCTTAACACCTTCGCTGCTATCTGAAATCAAAAAGGAGCATGCCGAGTGCCACCAATTCGTAGTTCAGCCAGGCATCTAAATATACACACACGCAGCGTCTGCGTTCAACAAAAAATTCGTGGTGGTAGTCGCCTATCGCACAACGGTGCCATCGACTTTCAATGTGACCGATCGACACGCACTACGTATCGATACTGCCACACAAGATGCCGCATGCGTTGCTGCTGCGGCAGTGAAAGTGTTAAACGTTGAAGTAAACATCGAAAAAAAGTGTGGTAGAAAATGATCCAAATGGTTGTACTGACATCTAAAATTTTTACGAGACATAATTCTATAAGTTCCAACGAATTAGGAAAGTATAATTATTTCCAAGAAATACGATGGGAAAGTTGTAAAAAACAATCGACACAGGAAGGTGCAGAGTGTAACAAATCGAAAGTTGCTGATTTTAAATAATCATAATTTCTAAACGAATGGATAAAATGGAAATATTTAAATAATATTTTGTAGAATAAAAGCCTATATTTTGATCGCATGTAAAAAGGTAAAAAAAATTAATTAAAGACCGTAGAAAGTGATACATTAACAATGCAGATATTCCCGAAAAATATGTTTATAACTATATTAATTGTGCACAATTATGTTTATACTAATTTTTACCTGGACAGGTGTCCATGAAATAATGCATAGAACAGAGGCCAATAGTAATTTTATAATCGACGACTTCATAACGACGGTTTCGTAACAGAAATTGTGTTCACTTGTTAAAAAAATCTCAATGTTCTCCAACTGATGCGCGGTTCATATTTAAAGCTCTACACGATCCTTTGTGGGATGTATTTTCGCAATGATTGGTTGTCTTAGAACAATAAACTACCAATAATTACGTATTGTTATAATACTATTCGTTGAATGAAATACATTGTGTTAATGATTGCGTGACAACTTTGTCGTTTATTAAACACGAAACCGTGGGAAATAAAATTGCATGCGCAGAAAAAATTGTCTATGATACTGTAGGAAATACAAAAAGCAAATAAGATATGTTATTATTAAGCTTATCACGAACAATCTGTAGGAAGTTACGTTATTGCTAACTCGTTAGTACCTACTATCTATTCCTTTGTAATTTAAAATGAAATAACAATACAAATTTTACATAAAGTAATATTAATATACAATCATTCATCAGTAATATACAATAGAGTGTAGCGTTCGAAGTAAAATCGCTTTCCGATATTAAAATTCGTAAAAAATTATATTGCATCATTAAAGCAAACAATATAAATTTATAGATTAAAAAATTTCTAATATTTTTTAAATTTATTAATTGAAAATTTTTAACATTT